TTTTAATCCAATGAAGCATTGCTATAATAAAGTTCTACGAACTTCACAATTGCAAATATGTAGTCGAACACATTGTTTATTTTAATTGCACTAAAACGTAATTATTCAGCATAGCTTGAAGTAACTATAATTTTATGATTAAATTGCATGTCATTTATATTAATTTGCTTGTCATTTATTTTAAATAGCATGTCAGTTGTTTTAAGCTGAATGTCGCGTGTTTTAACCCGCCTGTCAATTATTTTAATTCAGAAATCAACTGTTTTAAATTTGACTTCATTTGTCTTAAAATGCAACGAAAATGGTGTAGGTAACATTATATAACATTATATTAGCCTGACTGTATTATCATTTGAGGAGTGTCCTAAGCAAACAGCCTGATGTCGGTCTAGGTAGGAGTCAAGGTCGGGTATAGAGTTTCAGAATCAAAGGGCACATTGCTGCTTGTTCGTATAATGATGACTGGCCACACTGGCGGTCCGTGTCATCAGGTGTTGGCATGGCGATGTATCACACAATGATGCACGCGTTACCGGCAGGTCCGTAACATCAGGTGTCGGTGATGCGTCACATATGACACAGGTGAGCTGGGCACCTGCTGGTGAGAGATCAAAGACCCGACACTGGCTGTGTGTGATTATGGGCGAGTCATCTGGGGGCGGCCGGTCACGGGTCAGTGAGAATCACGCTGATATGATGTGAAAGCATAGATTCATGTACAAACAGCGGCCTCTGTACTCGTACAGCCCTGATCAGCTCGTGTCGAGCACAACCAAGTGCACCACCTACGTCGCAATATTTGGGCAAAGTACGTCACGCGTCATGCTTTGACATCACAGTGACACCAGATGTAACTTGTATACTCTGTCCTGGCTCACGATACACGGTGGCCATCCGGACACTGCAGTCGCGTCCCACTGCACCTCTCAATTCGCGCGGTCAGAGCCGGCGCGCGAAGGTCGCGCCGCAGAGCGGTGGCCCAGTTGGCTGCCAGCCGCCGCCTGCCGGCGTGGCCCCGTGCGTGACCTGGGTGCTGATGGCGGCGAGCTGGGGCCGCGCCGACCGGCCCCGGGCCCCTGAGCGCGCTCCGTGTGCTCTCACAGGCCGCGCGAGGACCCGCCGCCCTCCTCCAGCTGTCCTCAGCCCCCTGCCCTCTCTCTTCCAAGAATTTGGTATGTACGACGTCCCGGGCCTCGGGCCACCGATACACGGCGACGAACGGCTGTAGATCAGCCGCGGTAATCACTCCCCATTTTTAGTTCGACAACAAGGGTGTAAATAGCCGCGCCGGTCAGTGTGGCGCGGACCGTCGGCGGCGCCGGCGGCCTCACTGGGTGCCGGCCCAACAGCCGGCGGAGCTATGAAGGTTGCTCAATGCTGACGGCTGGCGTGACTCGAATGTCACACGGTGGCCGCCCGCTGCAGCCGGATCACACGTCCGTCACACACACACACACACACACACACACACACACACACACACACACACACACACACACACACACACACACACACACACACACACACACACACACACACACACACACACACACACACACACACACACACATGTTTGTAAGGTGCGGCATAGTGGTGCCCATGTTGATTTACAGCGGAGTGGGGTCCGACTTTAATTTTTTATTTGTTGTGCTAGAATAAATTTGGTTACATGGTCATGCTTCTCTTGGGTTACCGATTCAGATTGCATACTTCTTAACGGGATCAATGTGAAATTGGACGATGTTAAAAACGCAGCTTAGTGGGGCCCGGGCTGTATGACGTATTAATGACGTCATACATCGGTCCCCACTTCGCTGGGTATGACAATACACACTTATATACATACATATTAGAGCTACGAATTTCATCAAAAATAGAAGCCAAGGTCACACCCAGCACCTCGATTTCTTATCAAAATACTTTGCAACACTCCATGCTATATATTATCAAATATCAGCCACTCAAGTCAGCATACATGATCAAATGATGATAGGTATTGGATGGCAAGCTAAGGGCAATAAAAAACATCACCAGGAGCTGTGTACACCGTATTTCACCACCATAGGCATCTTTGTCACCACACCTTCGCTTCGATGAATATAGGCAATTAACATTAATGTAGGTATGCCTAAACCTTGAACCTGAATCTCGGCTAGCCGCAGTCAACGGTGGCAGAGCGCAAGTGGGCGTGGGGCGGTGGCACCTTATGGACGGGCGTCTTGGCGAGCGAGTGGCGGCATCGGTGGCGGTGGACGGCCATCTTGGCGCACGGCAGCAGCGAGCGGCTGTTTTGGTAAGCACTCGTCGAGCAGCTGGACGGGGTCGGAGCTGGCTAGATTCGCCAGCCGGAACTGATGGTCGTCCGACGCCGTCTTCAGCACAACCACAGACAGACTCGCTGTCCAGCGCCTCAGTCTCTCAGTCTGGTATCACACAGGGGTGGGTACAGTTGAGATACGGCACGACTGATACGGCTGAAGTCCGGTTCATCATCATCACTCCGTGTATTACTCAATGCAAAAACGATCATGAAAAAGCACCTGAGAATTGGCACAAAAGCACGGTTGTGGTGCGGGCGAGCTCCGGGATCGTGTGTCAGCTCAGCTCCAGTAGAGCCCCAGACCCTGCCCGTACTTCGGCCGGAGCATGAGTGCCGGAGCTAGCCAGAGTAAAACCAGATACGGCCCAGGCCCCAGACCGATTTTGCTGGCTGGAAAACAGCTTAATGCAACATGCGTTGAAGCTGTATTGTCTTAGTGTGCGCAAAATGACCTATAGTAGTCGGCGCGCCCGTAGGCCCCAATCAACAAGAAGCTGCATTGTCATCGCTCATCACCCGATAAAAGGCAAGCAATGTAAATCAGTGGTAGAGACGGCGCAGTTTCGTGGCGTGTAAAATGGATGTCGATTTTACTAGTTCGACCGAACTTCAAGTATATTACTAGTGGCAGTTACGTATACTATAATGATGGTTAAAACAATCAATTTAAAAGAGAGAAGACTGAGGTTAGAGAGCTTCCACTGGTTTCTACCACCCTTCGGTGGGAGGGGAAGAGAGCAAAGGTCTTAAACGCACACAACCGGCTAGAACGTGCGCACGTAACTGACTAAAACGTTACAGCATCGTCAAACCATTATTCATCCCTGGTGTTCTTGCCCTTACAGACTGCACTTGCGAAGAAGTCGTGTGTAATGGGAAGGGGTCCTACGATGGATTAAGATAACGAATTTCTCGAGAAAAATGCGAGGGAGTTACCACCGTGACCACCACCGCCACAACCACCAACACCACTGGATAAGGTTTCCGCGCGCATTGGGCAGGATTAATCCTCGCATAAGAGAAATGTGCAGAACAACACATGTATTACACAGTTTGTTCCTTGAGTGAGCAACACATGTACTTTTAACAAGCGTACGCTCACATATAAGGCACGGTGCAACACAAGAAAAGGACTACTCACGGATCGCCGGATCCGTGAGGACTACTCACGGACGACTCATGGATCGACCCGAGAAGCAGGTGACCGGAATGTCACAGATAATGAACGCTGAATGTCACAGATAAATGTCACAGAACCAGACACTCACAGATAATGCGAGGTACAACACGGTACAGCACGGGGTACCAGCACAACTACCATCACCACTGGTTGGGGTCTCCGCGCGCAGCATAACCTTCGCTCGTTAGCATTGAACGAACGTAGAAACGTACAAACAAACGTGAGCAAATGTACGCTCACATATAATACACGATGATCCCGCACCACACAGGTTACCCTGAGAACCGGGCTGATAGCTGCTCTACCAGAAGCTCACAGCTAGTACGGGATACAACACGGGGTGTTGTGGGTCCTAGCTCGACACATTGCCCCAAAAGACGATAAATAACATTTGAAAATACCCATCTCCGATTTAAGTGTTTTCTGGACCAAAATTTTGCGAAGTGTGGTCATCGAAATCACCCTCCCCGGCTGAGAAGGAGTTGGGCGGGTGCCGCCTCATAGGGTTTTTCGCGATAGCTCAAAACACGCCGGGGGTAGACAGCTGAAGCTTGGCATACCTAACCTTTGATTTAAGCTGAATCTTGTGACACCAACCGCATTTTCAGGTCAGGTCAGGTCACTAACCTATGACGTCATAATTGAACTTCTGCACGGTTCTCAGATGTTGCAACTTAGCCACGCCCTCAGTGCCAGAGGAACTTTCACAGGGAGATGAAACTTACAGGACGTAGTATCCTCCATAGGTCTCACAGCTTGCAACTACCCTAAGGCAACTACCCTACCCTACCCTACCCCTACCCCACCCTACCCTACCCTTACACTACCCTACCCTACCCTTACACTACCCTACCCTACCTTACCCTACCCTACCCAACCCCTACCCCTACACTACACTAACCTACCCTACCCCTACCCTACCCTACCCCTGGCCTACACTACCCTACCCTACCCCTACCCTACCCTACCCTACCCCTACACTACCCTACCCTATCCCTACCCTTACACTACCCGTCCCTACCCTACCCTACCCTAACCTACCCTACCCTACCCTACCCTACCCCTACACCACCCTACCCCTACACTAGCCTACCCTACCCTACCCTACCCTTACACTACCCTACCCTACCCTACCCTAACACTACCCTACCCTACCTCTACACTACCCTACCCTACCCTACCCTACCCCGCCCTACCCTACTACCCTACCCTACCCTACCCTACCCTACCCTACCCTACCCTACCCTACCCTACCCTACCCTACCCTACCCTACCCTACCCTACTCTACCCTACCCTACCCTACCCTACCCGATCAGAGATATGCAAGTTGTGAGACCTATGGAGGATATTACGTCCTGTAAGTTTCATCTTCCTATGAAAGTTCCTCTGGCACTGAGGGCGTTGTGAAGTTGTAACATCAGAGGACCGTGCAGAGGTTCACTTATGACGTCATAGGTTAGTGACCTGACCTGACCTGAAAATGCGGTTGGTGTCACAAGAACCAGCTTAAATCAAAGGTTAGGTATGCAAAGTATCAGCTGTCTACCCCGGTGTGTTTTGAGCTATCGCGAAAAGCCCCATGAGGCGGCACCCGCCCAACACCTTCTCGGCCGGCGAGGGTTACTGTACTAGTTCATGTACATGTGTGCGCGGATCTAGTATTTCAGCTAAAATATATCACTAATTCATGTTCGACACATTTTAGTGTCGTTACAAAAATTAACTAATAACATTTTAAATTTATTAATTTATTCAATTTATTTGTCTTATATTATGGCATGACAATTTTTCCTAAAAATAGGTGCTATCTCCAAAATACAGTTTTTGAGATTTCGATGACCACACCATCGGATTCCTCGCAAAACTTTGAAAACACTAAAATTGGAGATGGGTATTTTCAAAAGTTATTTACCGTCTTTTCGGGCAATGTGTCGAGCAAGGTAACAGATCATTTGCGAAGGAGGCGTCGCTTATGAGTTTGAATCATGTTGTAGGTGCAAAATTTCAAATCCTTCCAAGATCGTCGGTGAAGACGGGACTCTTTTTTCAGAACCTCGACACACTGAGATCGTCGGACATTTTAAATCGCGTATGTTGTCCTTCATCCAGAAGGCAACGGCTTCCCTTTCTTCCGGTGTCCATCCGGTTCTCTTAACCGGCTTCTTCTGGGTCGGCCTGTAAATACGAGCTGGAGCTTCCGTGCTATCGCTGTCCTTCCGTTTCTTTCCCACGCGCTTTGTGCTCTCTGTCTCCATCTGTCCGGGGTAGCCTATAATAAGACCGATGCACCCGAATGTCGTGGCCCATAAAGCGAGCCACGACATCAAGTTCAGTGTCACTTAGCTGTCCTGGTCCATGATATCCTCATCGTCAGCAGGAGATCGGTCACGAGGAGCACGGCTCCGACGCTGGCGTGAGACACCGGCATCCTCAACTCGACCAGACGACGGAACGGCTCCTGAGCGACTGCTGTGCAGCTCTGAAAGAAGATCAAATGTTACGAGTTAAATGACGAACTATCTACACATTCTTTACTACACCTATCGTGCGCTGACAAATATTACTAAATGGCCGAAATTAATATCTATAAACGACAAACACGGGTTCATCCGCTCTTTCGCTAAATCATAATAGCGATATGTGGATAGAGATATGGAGACAGGGACATGGAGACAGGGACAAGGGGACAGGGACATGGGGACAGGGACATGGAGACAGGGACATATGGACAGGGACATGGAGACAGGGACATATGGACAGGGACATGGAGACAGGGACATGGGGACAGTGACATGGGGAGGGGGACATGGAGAGGGGGACATGGAGACAGGGACATGGGGACAAGGACATGAGGACAGGGACATGGGGAGGGGACATGGAGACAGGGACATGGGGACAGGGACATGGGGACAGGGACATGGGGACGGGGACATGGGACAAGAGTATGGGGAAAAGGATATAGGGCAGGGATATGGGTGCATTAATGTAGGGATAAGGATAAATGATCAGGGACATGGGAACGGGGATTTGGGGACAGGGATATGCAAGTTTTTTTTCATCTAAAGTTGAGTTGCAATTATTATCTTTGCTCACCAGAAGTGGCGTCCTGGTCCATGATATCCTCATCGTCAGCAGGAGATCGGTCACGAGGAGCACGGCTCCGACGCTGGCGTGAGACACCGGCATCCTCAACTCGACCAGACGACGGAACGGCTCCTGAGCGACTGCTGTGCAGCTCTGAAAGAAGATCAAATGTTACGAGTCAAATGACGAACTATCTACACATTCTTTACTACACATATCGTGCGCTGACAAATATTACTAAATTGCCTAAATTAATATCTATACACGACAAACACGGGTTCATCCGCTCTTTCGCTACATCAAAACAGCGATATGTGGATAAAGATATGGAGACAGGGACATGGGGAGAGGGACATGGGGAGAGGGACATGGAGAGGGGGACATGGAGACAGGGACATATGGACAGGGACATGGGGACAGGGACATGGGGACACAATGTCCCAAAATTTGTCTATTTGGGTGGGAAACGACATCCAAATGAAATTCATTTTCCACTCTCACCACCATTTTTAAGAACAATTTTCCACTCCCAAGTCCCAACCAAGAAAACATAGATTTTTTACCTATAGAAAGACAGTTGTGTGGATGCCCAGTTAACATCAAACATTCTACACCCTAGAATAAAATGCATGCTTTTTGTCATTTCTCACTCCTTTTTTATCTAATCGAATCAGCAGTTTTCCACTCTCTCCCCTCTTTTTGGTGGGTAATTTTCCCCTCTGACACCCAAGACAAAACTCAATTTTGGGACACTGTGGGGACAGGGACATGGAGACAGGGACATGGGGACCGGGACATGGGGAGGGGACATGGAGACAGGGACATGGGGACAGGGACATGGGGACAAGGACATGAGGACAGGGGCATGGGGAGGGGACATGGAGACAGGGACATGGGGACAGGGACGTGGAGAGAAAGGGACATCGGGACAGGGACATGGACATGGGGTCAGGGACATGGCGACAGGGACATGGGGACAGGGACATGGAGACAGGGACATGGGGACAAGAGTATGGGGGAAAGGATATGGGACAGGAATACATTAACGTAGGGACAAGAACAAATGATCGGGGACATGGGAACGGGGATTTGGGGACAGGGATATGCAATAGTTTTTTCATCTGGAGTTGAGTTGCAATTATTATCTTTGCTCACCAGAAGCGGCGTCCTGGTCCATGATGTCCTCATCGTCAGCAGGAGATCGGTCACGAGGAGCACGGCTCCGACGCTGGCGTGAGACACCGGTATCCTCAACTCGACCAGACGACGGAACGGCTCCTGAGCGACTGCTGTGCAGCTCTGAAAGAAGATCAAATGTTACGAGTCAAATGACGAACTATCTACACCTTTTTTACTACACACATCGTGCGCTATCGAATATTACTAAAAACTGATGCATACCGATTTCAAAAACCAACACAAAAACCCTGTCCTGTCGGAAACAAACGCCAAAGACTTCAGATCACTGAAGCAATGCAGGCTAATCAGAATCAAGTGTCCTCCTATCAACACACAGCTGCAGGAGCATGACGGAATCCTCACGCTATTTTTTTTTTCATAAAAATTTGATCCGAATGGTTGAATGGGCGGATTTGAAGAATCAGCAGTCAGCAGCAAAACTTTCTATATTTGGGATGTCTGTACCTACCTATTATCAATAGCGAAGAATCACGTCCGATGACATATTATCATATATACTTTTAAATAAATTTAGTCCGAATGGTTGAATGGGCGGATTTGAGGAATCAGATCCCTCATCAAGCATAGCTTCTTGTGCTGACCCTGACCCCACCACCCAATCGCGCAATTCCAGCTGTATGATAGAATTTTATTCGAGCGTTTAACGTGCCCTCACGACTGGACACGATTGCATTATATTGCATTACTCCGCTCACTGACGTTACCTGGCTTCTGTGCGGCCCCTGCCACAGACACGCACGCCATTAAACGTAAGAGCTAAATGTGGCCGCCTACACCGGGGTTTGAGCCAGGCTCTCACCACCGACTTAGCGTCGAACTCCGGCGCTCTTATCCACTCGGCCACGGAAGGGACAAGTGGATCCCTTTTGATTGTGATTTGCTATGAGATCCCCTTTGACTGTGTAGCTGTACTGAGATAGTATGTGAGAGGGTCCAGGTGTAGTCTGTACGATTTTATAGTGAGATTTCTGTAGCACGAATTTTATCTCTGAATTTATCAATGTCATCTGTTTTAGTGAAAGAATTGTATCATCATATAATAACTGTTAGAACACAACTCTATATACTTGCCTGAGATGGCATCTTCGTTGTTGCCTTCGTCACTAGAAAATCTTCCAAGTGGCTGGCCATCCCTTGAGCTTTGACGTGGCTCGCGTCTGGGAACAGGTTTTACCACTTGTACGAAGCTGGACATTCTCGAGCTGATTGAGGCGATGCTCCATCTCGAGCCATCTGAGGGGGAATACGATACTATCAATTTATCAAGTTTGATGAAATGCGCAAGCATGAGAACGAGTAAAACAACGAATAAATTAGGAAGGAGATAGGTTAATAGGGTTAAATAACAAATAGGTTTATATGGTTACCGGGAAAACTGTATCGGTAAACGCAATTCCGTGAAACAATAGGTACATCAATTTCATCAAAAGCTGCAAATATTGCATTATTATCTATCGGGACTGCCCCACCATAACATAAGAATGGAGTTGAGATAGTCAAGTACAGGGTGTCCCAAAATTAATGTCACACCCTCTCACAGTCTTGATTTTTCCTGCCACGGCGAAATTGGAATATAATTTCGCCGATACTAGCTCTCAAACCGCATTGGTTATCTCCTAATCACATGACCTTCGACTTTTGTGACCCTGACCGGTTAGGAGGTCAACAGAAGCTGTTCTTGGGGAAGTACCCGACGCGCGCGTACAAGGTGTCTTAAGATGGCAAAGCAGCAGGGCATGTCGACTCGCAGCCGGGACATAGGCATTGTTGCCGGCGGCATGACCCACGGCCGTCGCCGAAGCACTGGGCGAGAGTCGCTGCACGACTTGGCGCTGGTTGTCACAACACATTAGAGGCGGACAGACGCTGGAGAACAAACCGGGTCGCGGCAGAAACAGTTCCGTCAGCCGCTACGGTCGCTATATGTCACCAACCCCAAAAGTGACTTATCACTAAAGTTAGCTCAAAAAAGCAATGTCACAAGTCCAAAGATTATTTGTCGCTGAGCCCACAAGCTGTTTTTGTCCCTAAAATCCAAAACTATTTTCCACTAGGACCAAAAGCAAATTTTGACCCGAAACCCAAAACCGACTTGTTGATAAACCAAAAAGCGACATTTGCTTAAAGTCAAAAATATTTTTCGCTAAGCCGAAAAGCTGAAAAATCCAAAAGCCATTTTCCGCTATGCCTAAGAGCAAATCTGACTCTAGATCCAAAAGCGAGTTGTTGCTAAGCTCAACTTCGACATTTATCTAAATTTAAAAAAAATATTTGTTGCAAGTAAAAAAGCTGCTTCAGTCGCCAAAATCCAAAAGCGACTTTTTGCTATGCTCAAAAGCAAATTTTGACCCTAACCCCAAAATTGAGTTGTCGCTAACCCCAACGACATTTGCTCAAAGTTAAAAAATAATTTATCGCCAAGCCCAAAAGCTGCTTCAAAGTTCAAAATATAAAATCCAAAAGCGACTTTTCACTAGGCGTAAAAGCAAAGTTCAGTTTTGTCCCTGTCACTAAGCCCAAGTGGCTTGCTGATGGGTCAAGAACTGATTTTAAGCCCAAAACCTCGCGAGCCCAAAAAAGCGTGTTTTATATCAAACACCAAGTATTTTACCTATTCAAGCACTGGAGGGAGCTCCAATATCAAACAAACCAATACATCAAATCAAGTTTGATGAAGCATCCCAATCTCGATCGGACAGATCTACCAGGCCATCCTATTGCCTCATCCGATCCCATTCATCAGTATCAGATATATATGGTATTGGTAGAGCAGATGTCACTCAAAGGTTTTCCAACCAAGGAAAGGCGCTATGCCTAGAGATGCTTCTTTCTAACAAAACCATAAAAAAACTTAGCCTAACCTGACCTAGCCTTACCTACAACCTACAAACCTACAGCGCCTCTCCTTGGTTGGAAAACCTTTGTGACGTCTGCTCTACTAAACTAACAGGCTCTATACCTGGATACTACAAAAGACAATACGAGAGATTGCACCAGGATTTCACAAATTACAAATATGCAACAGCACTTTGGTTTATTTTTTTATTGCAGTCATTCTTACCTACAAGTTACGAGCCATTCTTGTTTCGTTTTACTATTGTATTATAATTTTCTTATAACATTCATAAACCACCTTTGTAAATAGGTACACCCAAAGAAATATTTTCCATGTTACATCTATGATTATTTGTAGATCATTCCAGCCGATAGGTAGGTATTTAGCCACTGCCGAGACCAAAGCGGCGCGGGCAGTTGCCCCAAGTAAAAACAAAAGAAAAGGTGAGGATAATGTGAATTTGAGTCTTAAAAGTCATAAATTAATGGTTTTATTGCAAGACATCATTCTGTACCCAGAATATTCAATACTCAAAACAATTATTTTGATTAATAGACAACTCACCGTCGAAATCGCAGTCGTCCCGCGCGAATGGCGGAATTGTAGTTGATAGAGCTGGGGCCGTATTCACGTCAACTTCGTAAGTCGATTTTCTTTCGTAAGTATAATTTGGTATTCACGTCGACACTTCTTAAGTTTTTATCGACGGAGTTCACGTGAATAAAAAGAATTACTTAAGAAGTAGGTCAAACTTAAGAAAATTCTTACGAAAATAATCGACGTGAATACGGCCCCAGGACACTAGAGCTGGCAAAATGTGGACCCGAGGACCCGGTCCAAAGAACCAGTCTGGACCCATATGGGTCCAGACCGGTTCCTGGAATTTTTCTTACGGGTCCAACCGGGTCCTACCATAAACTATACATCTTGCACACTGTAAAATATGAAGTGAATGAAGTGAACGTTTCTTTGCACACAGTAGCTCATGAGTATTCCCAGTGGGAAATAGGCTGTTTTACATGATGCAACTAATGATACGTATGTACAAGTAGTTTGTATAAATTGACTTGGGAAACGGGTCCAACTGGTTCCGATTCCAACTAAGACCGGGTCCGACTGGTTCCAGAAATGTCCAGCCGGGTCTGGTCCGAGTCTAGTTCCCAAAATTTTCATCTTTTGCCACCTCTACTGGACACCCAGTGCTTCTGGATGGGGCGTGTTGTCATTTCAAGGTGCCTATTTAACACCAATCCAAAAATGCTAGGCACCAATTTCGGCATTCGAAAGAACGTCCAAAATAAGGACGAAAACACTTCGGTCATTTTTTAGGTCAGGTCAAAGGTCAGGTCATCGGAGGTCACCAAAAGTAAAATGTTCTTTCAACGTTTTGGCAACTGCCAACGGCTAACTCGGGAACCGATAGAGCTGCAGCGCCGCAGGACAGCGCATTCGATAGCTCTTTTAACGCTCTTTCGCTAACATGTCCTCATATTTGACCTCAGGTCAACAGTTTAGCCTCCAGAGGGCAAAAATTTAAAAAATAGCCGTTTTTACCCAAAAAATGTTTTTCGGTAATAACTTTTGACTCAAAAGAGCCAAGTTATTTCTTTTGCCAGCATCGTATTCCTCTCGTCTAGACGCGTAGAATGAACTACAATTTGACCATGAAAGACCAACTTGAAAATGTGACCTCCGGTCAAGGTCATGACCTGACCGGAGAAGGCCATGTTGCATGTTAGTCGATCTGCATCGTCGAGCCCAATGCATCGTAAGTGTTTTCACACTCTAGCATGCCTCTATCAGAAGTTATTAGCGAAAAACTGTTAGATACTATTGGTGACATGAGATGACCTCGGGGACATAACGAGGGGTCATAGTTGCTATTTTCCGGTTCAGTGTGTCAATTTTACCTGTATCCAGGGCGGTGTTTTATGGGCGCTAATAGCGCGCTGCCAGCGCTTTTCGCGAGCTGACGTTATATGGTCACGTGACACTAAGGACGGTTCGTGTCATCCGTGAGCTCCTTCATAGCTGCGAATGGAACAGAGTTGCTGATACGTTTGCGTTCAACGCGATGGCAACTCTCTTCCAACCGCACCTATGAAGGAGATCACGTATTACACGAAAGGTCCTTAGTGTCACGTGGCCATATGACGTCAGCTCGCTAAAAGCGCTGGCAGCGCGCTACTAGCGCCCGTGAAACAACGTCCAGATGTTTGAGAGTGTCTAGAATGGCGTTCGTGCAAAACAGACGCTTTTCAATTTTCTCCCATTGACTTATAATGGAGAGGCCGCAAAATTCACCTGACCTTAGGTCACCGATATCAAAATTCAGTTGACAGTTCTGTCAACTGTCGTAACTGTAAGTCGCTTCTCTTTAATTACCTAACAAAACGTGTAGGGGAGCCGGGAGAGTGGGGTAAGACGCCCAGGTGGGGTAAGACGCCTTTTCGATATAACAGTCATGTATTGGGAAAATGCACTTCTGTTCTTAAATGCCTTTTTCGTCTATGGTGGAACGAGGTATGAGTATTGCGGCTCCCATTTCGGGCTCCCTGACACCGCCCTTGACTTTACTCCTCAATACAAGGCCTGGATCCGTCCCTGTCTGGTACAACTGTGGCGGATTTTGGCCAGAGCATAGGTACTCGTATTCCCAATGAGCTCAACTCAGGCGAGCTACGGTTTGGTCTGGCTAGCTCATAGACCCGGAACAGGGGGGGCAGCGGGGGCGCTTGCCCCCCCCCCCCCAACTTGAGAGCCGAGGGGGCGGCGCCCCCTCAACTTTGAGGCAGCGTGAAAGGATCTTTCCTCCCTTTTCCGGACTTCTTTCCTTCTTGTTTCCTTTATACATCTAAACATCAACACACGGCGTTTTCCTAGCCATCTGAATGGTTTTTGCTGCATACAGCAGTATCGATTTGACAACATCTGCTTTTGTCATCCCGCTTTGGTTTGGGCCTGGCCTTGGCCATAAGTTAGGCAGGCCAGATTTTACATATACTGGATCATTTTGAGTCAACTTTGAGAAATACATAACGTACAACGGTGATAAAATCGTTGCAACAGGTATAACACAGTTTACCCGCTCCGGGACGGTGTGAGGGAGGGGTGTGGGGCAATGAGTATACACCGACGTGGCGCCCTCGGAAGGCCGGTATGGGATCAAAGCTCAGCGACACTAAGGGCCTGTGTGCTGCCTTCGGTTATCGGCAGCACCCTCAGAATCACCGGCGTAGGGCCCTCAGAGCCGCCGGTAAGGGGCCTTTAGAGGCACTGGTGTGGGGCCGCCATGCAGGTGCCGGTGTGGGCGCTCAGAGGTGCTAGTGTGATTCTCTCAGAAGCGCCGGTGAGGGTCCTTACAGGCGTTGCTGTGGGCCCTCATAGACGCTGGTGTGGAGCCGTTAAACACGGGTGTGGGGTCTTTAGAGCTGCTGACGCGAACCCTCTACAAGCCGGCAGGGGGTTCTCACTTCTCAGTGACCGGCAAGGGGCCCTTAGGCCGGCAGAAGAAGTATTGTGGGGCCCTTAGAGACCAGCATGGTACTGTCAGACGCCGGTGGGGCCGTCAGGGCTCAGAGTCACCGGTGTGGGGCCACCAGTGGGTGGTGGAGGATGCGCAGGGTTGACTGTTGGGTCCTCAGAGCCGCCGATATAGGGCTTTAATAGGCACTGGTGTAGACTGTAAGCATAGACACTCCGAGTTGGGGCCTGGGGGTGTGAAACGCTCAGAGACACCGGTGTGGGCCCTCATAAGCGCCGATGAGGGCCCCACAGTTGCCGTTATGGGGCCCTCAGAAAAATAAGTGTGTGACCATCACATGCGGGAAATGCCCCTAGAACTGGCCCCTCATAGGCCGGTAAGAACTCTCAGAGGCCAGAAACGGGCCTCTGGAGACAACTGAGTGGCCCTTAAAATCTACAAGAGGCCCTCAGAAGCCGGCGTGGGGCCCTTATGGAGATCTTAGTGTGGTTATTTAGGGCCCATGAGGTGCTCTAACGAGCCCTATGGGCCCTTCCGAGTTGAAACATGGCTTTCGTTAACCCTCAGCGGCCAAATGGCGCCGCAGGGCCTCTCGGACCCGAGGGTCCCTTTGAACCCGATGGGGGGTACCTACGTGTCCCCTTAGACCCCTAGCTACGCCACTGCTTCATATGCATCATGTCAGGATTTTAGGCTCGCCCCCCCCCCCCCCCCAACTTGAAATCGTTCCCGGGCCCCTGGGCTAGCTGCTGGCTGTACTCCGAACTGGTCCGGCGCGCTATGGCTATTAGGGTGGTCATTTTTTGCAAACTACATGGAATCATTGCTCCAAGCCTCGATTCTGATGTAATTTTTTTCATGGTAATTCCGAATCCGTCGAGAATAATGAAAAATTCTTTTAAAAATTGGCCCCTGAGCGTCCTGGAAGTTTTTGGATGAAGTGAAAATATGAACGTTTCACTGCCTAATCGAAATATGCGTCGTACCTATTTGGGCTAAAAGTTTAAAAGTGAGATATGATCTGTAGGCATTACAATGCCGCTAAAACCAGCAATATAACTGAATTGATTTGGCAACAGCATTCAATAATATCCGCACCCCTTGGGTCAATCTGCCTCTGGACGGCGAGCATCGAACTAATAGTGATATGAGGCCTGCCTGTAGGTGGCAGCACTGCTTTCCAAACTCCGATTCCTTGTAGGTCCTTGTGATATCATTAACACGTTTTATCATCACGTCCTCCTTGCCAAACGATACAATAACCAATAATCTGTTGGTCTGAAAGAAATTTTAAGCATCAGTGTGTCATTTTCCCTACCTAAACAATGTCTAAGATAGTTTTTTGTTCTGACCAAAAGCAAACAATCTGGATGGAACCGCAACGCCCAGCAATGTACGCAACGATTACACAAGGAATCGTTTATGACAGGCTTGTTTCCTTTAGTGTCATTCCCGCACAGAGGACCTGTAAATGTAGCAAGACAGAGGGCCCACTGGAGGGTGTCTGTCTCACTCTGCCGAACAGCGGCAGGGAGCAGAGGAGCAGCGCTGCCGGTTTTTCATCCGTTCCATACAGTGTTCCGTTGTTGCCTAGCGCTTGGCCGATGTGCTAATTACCAATTGCCGGTGAGGCTAGCCGAATATCAGGTGCATCCCCTGTATGACACTTAACGAAACAAGCCTGTCATAAACGATTCCTTGTGTAGTCGTTGCTTACATGGCTGGGCTATTGCCGGTCCATCCAGATTGTTTGCTTTTGGTCAGAAAAAAAACCTTATCTTAGACATTGTTTAGGTAAGGAAAATGACACACTGATGCTTAAAATTTCTTTCAGACCAACAGATTATTGGTTATTGTATCGTTTGGCAAGGAGGACGTGATGATGAAACGGGTTAATGATATCACAAGGACCTACAAAGAATCGGAGTTTGCGAGCAGTGCTGCCGCCTACAGGCAGGCCTCATATCACTATTAGTTCGATGCTCGCCACCAGAGGCAGATCGACCCACGGGGTGCGGATCTTATTGAGTGCTGTTGCCAAATCAACTGAGTTATACTGCTGGTTTTTGCGGCATTGTAACGCCAACAGATCATATTTCACGCAGTAGCGGCGGAACACCTTCAATCAAGGGGGGCACTGCCGACTTTTGGTCCCATTCTTTCCATGCAACGCCCATAGGGCTAATGTTAAAATACAAAATCAAAGGGGGGCACGGTGCCCCGGTGCCCTCCCCGTTCCGCCGCCTATGATTTCACGTTCATATAAACTTTTAGCACAAATACGACGCTATTTCGATTAGGCAGTGAAAGGTCGATATTTTCACTTCATCCAAAAACTTCAAGGACGTTCAGAGGTCAATTTTTACGATTTTTTTCACTTTTATCGACGGATTCGGAATCAGCATGAAAAATGCATCAGAATCGAGGCTTGGAGCAATATGCAAAAAAAAGCCACCCTAATGGCTATGGTGCGGCATCATCCCGGCGTGCTACGGCGAGGCCTGGCAGTGTCTCGTAGCTGCTCTGGCTTACTGTCGCTCAAGTACAGTTGAGATACGGCACGACTGATACGGCTGAAGTCCGGTTCATCATCATCACTCCGTGTATTACTCAATGCAAAAACGATCATGAAAAAGCACCTGAGAATTGGCACAAAAGCACGGTTGTGGTGCGGGCGAGCTCCGGGATCGTGTGTCAGCTCAGCTCCAGTAGAGCCCCAGACCCTGCCCGTACTTCGGCCGGAGCATGAGTGCCGGAGCTAGCCAGAGTAAAACCAGATACGGCCCAGGCCCCAGACCGATTTTGCTGGCTGGAAAACAGCTTAATGCAACATGCGTTGAAGCTGTATTGTCTTAGTGTGCGCAAAATGACCTATAGTAGTCGGCGCGCCCGTAGGCCTCAATCAACAAGAAGCTGCATTGTCATCGCTCATCACCCGATAAAAGGCAAGCAATGTAAATCAGTGGTAGAGACGGCGCAGTTTCGTGGCGTGTAAAATGGATGTCGATTTTACTAGTTCGACCGAACTTCAAGTATATTACTAGTGGCAGTTACGTATACTATAATGATGGTTAAAACAATCAATTTAAAAGAGAGAAGACTGAGGTTAGAGAGCTTCCACTGGTTTCTAGCACCCTTCGGTGGGAGGGGAAGAGAGCAAAGGTCTTAAACGCACACAACCGGCTAGAACGTGCGCACGTAACTGACTAAAACGTTACAGCATCGTCAAACCATTATTCATCCTTGGTGTTCTTGCCCTTACAGACTGCACTTGCGAAGAAGTCGTGTGTAATGGGAAGGGGTCCTACGATGGATTAAGATTACGAATTTCTCGAGAAAAATGCGAGGGAGTTACCACCGTGACCACCACCGCCACAACCACCAACACCACTGGATTAGGTTTCCGCGCGCATTGGGCAGGATTGATCCTCGCATAAGAGAAATGTGCAGAAGAACACATGTATTACACAGTTTGTTCCTTGAGTGAGCAACACATGTACTTTTAACAAGCGTACGCTCACATATAAGGCACGGTGCAACACAAGAAAAGGACTACTCACGGATCGCCGGATCCGTGAGGACTACTCACGGACGACTCATGGATCGACCCGAGAAGCAGGTGACCGGAATGTCACAGATAATGAACGCTGAATGTCACAGATAAATGTCACAGAACCAGACACTCACAGATAATGCGAGGTACAACACGGTACAGCACGGGTACCAGCACAACTACAATCACCACTGGTTGGGGGTCTCCGTGCGCAGCATAACCTTCGCTCGTTAGCATTGAACGAACATAGAAACGTACAAACAAACGTGAGCAAATGTACGCTCACATATAATACACGATGATCCCGCACCACACAGGTTACCCTGAGAACCGGGCTGATAGCTGCTCTACCAGAAGCTCACGGCTAGTACGGGATACAACACGGGTGTTGTGGGTCCTAGCTCGACACATTGCCCCAAAAGACGATAAATAACATTTGAAAATACCCATCTCCGATTTAAGTGTTTTCTGGACCAAAATTTTGCGAGGAATCCGATGGGGTGGTCATCGAAATCACCTTCCCCGGCCGAGAAGGAGTTGGGCGGGTGTCGCCTCATAGGGTTTTTCGCGATAACTCAAAACACGCCGGGGGTAGACAGCTGAAGCTTGGCATACCTAACCTTTGGTTTAAGCTGAATCTTGTGACACCAACCGCATTTTCAGGTCAGGTCAGGTCACTAACCTATGACGTCATAATTGAACTTCTGCACGGTTCTCAGATGTTGCAACTTTGCCACGCCCTCAGTGCCAGAGGAACTTTCACAGGGAGATGAAACTTACAGGACGTAGTATCCTCCATAGGTCTCACAACTTGTATATCTCGGATTTTACCCATATGTCACATGAGGTCAGGTCGGTCACGTGACCTCACCATTTATAAGGCAATGGGGAAATATGAAAAACGTTATTTTGGCGCCGGAAATGATCTAGAACTATCCCAAGCACATGGATCGTGGTTTCATGATCGGACCTTGCAAGGAGTGCATGAAACCGTGCATGAAACCACAATTCCATGTGCTTGGGATAGTTTTAGATCATTTCCGGCGCCAAAATAACAGTTTTTATATTTCCCCCATTGACTTACAATGGTGAGGTCACATGACCGACCTGACGCCATGTAACCTTTGGTAAAAATCAGAGATATGCAAGTTGTGAGACCTATGGAGGATATTACGTCCTGTAAGTTTCATCTTCCTATGAAAGTTCCTCTGGCACTGAGGGCGTTGTGAAGTTGCAACATCTGAGGACCGTGCAGAGGTTCACTTATGACGTCATAGGTTAGTGACCTGACCTGACCTGAAAATGCGGTTGGTGTCACAAGAACCAGCTTAAATCAAAGGTTAGGTATGCAAAGTATCAGCTGTCTACCCCGGTGTGTTTTGAGCTATCGCGAAAAGCCCCATGAGGTGGCACCCGCCCAACACCTTCTCGGCCGGCGAGGGTTACTGTACTAGTTCATGTACATGTGTGCGCGGATCTAGTATTTCAGCTAAAATATATCACTAATTCATGTTCGACACATTTTAGTGTCGTTACAAAAATTAACTAATAACATTTTATATTTATTAATTTATTCAATTTATTTGTCTTATATTATGGCATGACAATTTTTCCTAAAAATAGGTGCTATCTCCAAAATACAGTTTTTGAGATTTCGATGACCACACCATCGGATTCCTCGCAAAACTTTGGTCCAGAAAACACTAAAATTGGAGATGGGTATTTTCAAAAGTTATTTACCGTCTTTTCGGGCAATGTGTCGAGCAAGGTAACAGATCATTTGCGAAGGAGGCGTCGCTTGTGAGTTTGAATCATGTTGTATGTGCAAAATTTTAAATCTTTCCATGATCGTCGGTGAAGCCGGGACTCTTTTTTCAGAACCTCAACACACTGGGACATCGTCGGGCATTTTAAATCACGTATGTTGTCTTTCATCCAGAAGGCAACGGCTTCCCTTTCTTCTGGTGTCCATCCGGTTCTCTTAACCGGCTTCTTCTGGTTCGGCCTGTAAATACGAGCTGGAGCTTCCGTGCTCTCGCTGTCCTTCCGTTTCTTTCCCACGCGCTTTGTGCTCTCTGTCTCCTGTCCGTTTGTGTCTCCTGTCCGCTTTGTGTCTCCTCTTTGTGTCTCCTGTCCGCTTTGTGTCTCTGTCTCTTGTCCTTCAACATCTTCCGCTTCTTCACCAAGAGCAGCGTCTTCATCAGATCCCCGATCCCCGCAGCTCATGTTCACTGGGTCAAGATCGTTCAGTTTCTGTCCGGCGAATTCTCCCATGCCTGTTTCCATTGCGATGAGGATTTTGCTCACTTTAGCCGCATATACTGTCCGCTCGGGTAGCCTATAATAAGACCGATGCACCCGAATGTCGTGGCCCATAAAGCGAGCCACGACATCAAGTTCAGTGTCACTTAGCTGTAACAGTTGCAGCATAGTTGCAGCGTGCTTACGGTACGATGTCGCAGAGATGTTCGTCGCACCAGCCTTCTTCGCGAACAGCCGCACACAATCGCTCCCACGCAGCGGGGCAGCATCTCCTTCCACACCACTTGTAAACAGATAGGGGTTGTCACTTGATATACCTGCACGAGATCTGCTGGCGACAAGCAGTTCCATGGTCTCGACCATCTTTGCAGTCAGGAGCATGGGTACGCCGATTCCACGCTTGCCCCTGACGGTGACATGCGTCAGCTCCCGGCAAAGTTCCTGCTCAAGCTTGGACAAGTGCTCGGTTATTTCTTCGTTCACTGAACGACTACGCTTCGCGAACGTTGCTGTGGTCAATCTCGCGGTTTCCCCCGGTCTCCGTCTGTTAAACAGCATCACAGTGGCCAACGTCGCTCGGGCGAGGTTCACGTAGCTCTGAATGGTTGGCGCTTCCTGCAACTGCGCACTTGCCTTTTTGAGCTCGTCTTCCAAGACACCAGACACTCTTTGGACATCCTCCTGAACGGGGAGATTTGAGGGAGCGTTCCATTTCCTTTCTGCCAGCGTGCCCAGAGCGCGGGATGACACCATGATTTTCCACTCCCGGCGGTACAGCTCCAAGAATCGGTCGGCAGCCGTTACACCATCCTCTCCTCGTTCATGATTGACTCAGACTTCAGAATGCCAGCACACTCGGAAAGAGAAAATCCTATCTTTAATGCCACTGATGGCGTCTGAACTTCTCCATCTCGGAAACCAGCTACACATCGTGTTGCCTCTACAATGTCCTTGAATTTACCGGGCTGTAAATACTCCCGGAGTCGCGTTCGGGTCGCCAACTGCTCGCCTCAGCTCGAGCACGAGACGTCCAAGCTCCCGCAGCTTGTTGCGGATGTGTGCGTGTTGGTGCGGCAGATGGCCCATACTGACGTAGAGCCGTTCTCCCAGTTTGAGAATCATTTCATCAGTTTTCACGATATCACCAACTTCATCGTCCCTCATTTTGTCGAGTACCAGCCTCAACGCGGCTCCCCCGCCCTGCGTGGGTGGGAACAGACCCCTACTCTGGGCCTGCACTCTTGTGTAAGGCTCGGTACTGTCTTGGTTGTAACATCTGTGGCGGTACAAGTTTTTGCGGCTAAATAGACCCAAACATTTGCCGCATGGCAGCATGTCTTTGTCACTGACTGTCGTTCCTTTTTCAGGCCTCCTCGCCGGTATCAACGTGCCACGACCTCGTCGAATGACATCAGAGTTGTAGGCAAAATTGCCCTTGTGTGCCAGCTTCTCAAAGTACGCACGTCTCTCTTTCCCTGGCAGAAGCAAGCGCCCGTGTTTCACCTCTCGTTCGTGTTTGTGCCGTCGCAAGAGGTGCCGGGTAAACTTTGTCTGACGTTTGAAACAGAAAGGACAAGCATTTTGTTTCCGCGTCGTTTTCCAATGTTCCACAGATACATGGTCAGCCTCAGACGAGGCATGAGCAGCAGGGATGGATGAGGTGGTTTGACTCCCATCGGCATCAGACGCTGCGCTTTCGAAGGGGTCTTCGTTGGAAACCTCCAAGTCCCCACTGCTGTCGTCGTCCGTCGCGCCGTCTGGGTGGAATGTAGGGTCTGCCACACTGTCATCATCTGAAAAAAAAAATGTTTTTAGATGGTAGAATACGCATTAACCGAAGATCACTTCATACCCAATTGCATGTCTCACTAAACCGTGAACATGGTTTAGTGAGCATGGTTTAGTGGGATATGGGGACTTGGGCATGAGAACTTGGACATGGGGACATCAACATAGGGAAATGGACATACAGTGATATGGGGCCAGGGACATGCGAACAAGGACATGGGGACAGGGACAAGGGGACAGGGACATGGAGACAGGGACATGGGACAGGGACATGGGGACAGGGACATGGGGACAGGGACATGAGGACAAGGACATGGAGACAGGGACATGGGGAGGGGACATGGAGACAGGGACATGGGACAAGAGTATGGGAAAAGGATATAGGGCAAGGATATGGGTGCATTAAAGGAACTATCCCACCTTCTAAAATGTTGATAAAACCAGTGAAATTGTGCCCGACTTTATAGATTGGATGACCAGGAACACGGTTCTGGCATTTATTTTCATTAAACATCTTAGGCTTCCCATATTTCAAACACAAACTTTCAAATATGTGACGTCACAGCCCAAAATTACCTCCTTCCCCAGGCCACATTACTGTCATAAAGCTGATTCTTTTTACACTGTAGGCACAACAACAAAGTTCAGACCAAGTTTTAAGCGATTTTTCAACGAACAAACCCATTTAAATCAGAATGACTAAACGAGGTGACGTCACACTAACGGTCGCTCCATGTTGAAGATAGGGCCTTGTACAAGACCCATTTTCAAATGAAGGGAACGAATTTCTTCAACACCAAGAGGCCGCGGGGGTTGCAACCTAGATAGATAGTGGTTTCTGAACCTCGCCGCAAACTTGGCTATCTCAACTCAAACCCCATGTTAAAGGTGGGATAGTCCCTTTAACGTAGAGACAAGGACAAATGATCAGGGACATGGGAACGGGGATTTGGGGACAGGGATATGCAAGTTTTTTTTTCATCTAAAGTTGAGTTGCAATTATTATCTTTGCTCACCAGAAGCGGCGTCCTGGTCCATGATATCCTCATCGTCAGCAGGAGGTCGGTCACGAGGAGCACGGCTCCGACGCTGGCGTGAGACACCGGTATCCTCAACTCGACCAGACGACGGAACGGCTCCTGAGCGACTGCTGTGCAGCTCTGAAAGAAGATCAAATGTTACGAGTCAAATGACGAACTATCTACACATTCTTTACTACACTTATCGTGCGCTGACAAATATTACTAAATGGCCGAAATTAATCTATACACGACACACGGGTTCATCCGCTCTTTCGCTAAATCAAAATAGCGATATGTGGATAGAGATATGGAGACAGGGACATGGGGACAGAAACATGGGGACAGGGACATGGGGACAGGGACATGGGGACAGGGACAAGGGGACAGGGACATAGAGCCAGGGACATGGAGACAGGGACATATGGACAGGACATATGGACAGGGACATGGAGACAGGGACATGGGGACAGGGACATGGGGAGGGGGACATGGAGAGGAGACATGGGGACAGGGACATGGACATGGGGTCAGGGACATGGAGACAGGAGATGGGGACAGGGACATGGAGACAGGGACATATGGACAGGGACATGGAGACAGGGACGTGGAGAGAAAGGGACATCGGGACAGGGACATGGACATGGGGACAGGGACATGGCGACAGGGACATGGGGACAGGGACATGGAGACAGGGACATGCGGACAAGAGTATGGGGGAAAGGATATGGGACAGGGATACATTAACGTAGGGACAAGAACAAATGATCGGGGACATGGGAACGGGGATTTGGGGACAGGGATATGCAATAGTTTTTTCATCTGGTTTTAAGTTGCAATTATTATCTTTGCTCACCAGAAGCGGGTCCTGGTCCATGATATCCTCATCGTCAGCAGGAGGTCGTCACGAGGAGCACGGCTCCGACGCTGGCGTGAGACACCGGCATCCTCAACTCGACCAGACGGCGGAACGGCTCCTGAGCGACTGCTGTGTAGCTCTGAAAGAAGATCAAATGTTACGAGTCAAATGACGAACTATCTACACATTCTTTACTACACATATCGTGCGCTGACAAATATTACTAAATGGCCGAAATTAATATCTATACACGGCAAACACGGGTTCATCCGCTCTTTCGCTAAATCAAAATAGCGATATGTGGATAGAGATATGGAGACAGGGACATGGGGACAGGGACATGGGGACAGGGACATGGGGACAGGGACATGGGGACAGGGACATGGGGACAGGGACATGGGGACAGGGACATGGGGACAGGTGAGACAGGTGGAGACAGGGACATGGGAGGGGACATGGAGACAGGGACATGGGACAGGGACTGGGGAGGGACATGGACAGGGACATGGGACAGGGACATGGGGAGGGGACATGGAGACAGGGACATGGACAGGGACATGGGGACAGGGACATGGGGACAGGGACATGGGGACAGGGACATGGAGACAGGGACATGGGACAGACATGAGGGACATGGAGACAGGACATGGGACAGGGACATGGGGAGGGGGACATGGGGAGGGGACATGGACAGGCATGGGGACATGGACATGAGGGGACATGGACAGGGACATGGGGACAGGGACATGGGGACAGGGACATGGGACAGAGACATGGGGACAGGACATGGGGACGGGGACATGGGACAAATATGGGAAAAGGATATAGGGCAGGGATATGGTGCATTATGTAGGGATAAGGATAAATGATCAGGGACATGAGAACGGGGATTAGGGGACAGGGATATGCAATAGTTTTTCATCTGGAGTTGAGTTGCAATTATTATCTTTGCTCACCAGAAGCGCGTCCTGGTCCATGATATCCTCATCGTCAGCAGGAGATCGGTCACGAGGAGCACGGCTCCGACGCTGGCGTGAGACACCGGCATCCTTAACTCGACCAGACGACGGAACGGCTCCTGAGCGACTGCTGCAGCTCTGAAAGAAGATCAATGTTACGATCAAATGACGAACTATCTACACATTCTTTACTACACCTATCGTGCGCTGACAATATTACTAAATGGCCGAATTAATATCTATACACGACAAACACGGGTTCATCCGCTCTTTCGCTAAATCAAAATAGCGATATGTGGATAGAGATATGGAGACAGGGACATGGGACAGGGACATGGGGAGAGGGACATGGGGAGGGGGACATGGAGGGGGACATGGAGACAGGGACATATGGACAGGGACATGGGACAGGGACATGGGGACAGGGACAAGGGGACAGGGACATGAGACAGGACATGGGGCAGGGACATGGGGACAGGGACATGGGGACAGGGACATGGGACAAGAGTATGGGGAAAAGGATATAGGGCAGGGATATGGGTGCATTAATGTAGGGATAAGGATAAATGATCAGGGACATGAGAACGGGGATTTGGGACAGGATATGCAAAATTTTTTATCTGTGATTGAGTTGCAATTATCAACTTTGCTCACCAGAAGCGGCGTCCTGGTCCATGATATCCTCATCGTCAGCAGAGATCGGTCACGAGGAGCACGGCTCCGACGCCGGCGTGAGACACCGGCATCCTCAACTCGACCAGACGACGGAGCGGCTCCTGAGCGACTGCTGTGCAGCTCTGAAAGAAGATCAAATGTTACGAGTCAAACGACGAACTATCTACACATTCTTTACTACACCTATCGTGCGCTGACAAATATTACTAAATGGCCGAAATTAATATCTATACACGACAAACACGGGTTCATCCGCTCTTTCGCTACATCAAAACAGCGATATGTGGATAAAGAATGGAGACAGGGACATGGAGACAGGGACATGGGGACAGGGACATGGAGACAGGGACAAGGGGACGGGACATAGAGCCAGGGACATGGAGACAGGACATGGGGACGGGACATGGGACAAGAGTATGGGAAAAGGATAATTATAGGGCAGGGGATATGGTGCATTAACATAAGGACAAGGACAAATGATCAGGGACATGGAACGGGGATTTGAGGACAGGGATATGCAATAGTTTTTCATCTGTAATTGAGTTGCAATTATCTTTGCTCACCAGAAGCGGCGTCCTGGTCCATGATATCCTCATCGTCAGCAGGAGATCGGTCACGAGGAGCACGGCTCCGACGCTGGCGTGAGACACCGGCATCCTTAACTCGACCAGACGACGGAACGGCTCCGAGCGACTGCTGTGCAGCTCTGAAAGAATCAAATGTTACGAGTCAAATGACGAACTATCTACACATTCTTTACTACACCTATCGTGCGCTGACAAATATTACTAAATGGCCGAAATTAATATCTATACACGACAAACGGTTCATCCGCTCTTTCGCTACATCAAAATAGCGATATGAGGATAGAGAGATGGAGACAGGGACATGGAGACAGGGACATGGGGACAGGGACATGGGACAGGGACATGGGACAGGGACAGGGGAGGGGGACATGGAACAGGGACATGGGGAGGGGACATGGAGAGGGAGACATGGGGACAGGGACATGGGACAGGGACA